AAATGTAAGGTGTATAAAGTACAGATATTTGTGTGAACATGTAGGGGGTAAGAGTAAAAGTTGTCAGAAAAATAAACACTAAAGTAAAGTTTAGATAAAAAACTACTGTACTGTAACAAAGTATTTGCACTTAGTTACTTTCCATCTCTGAAGACAACTTAAAACGTTATGTCTTTTTCAAAATGTAATTATCATTTCATGTTGATCACTATGACACATTGTTTTTATCCTTACAATAAGCATTTTCCATGACCTCAGATATTTCTGGCTTAAGCAACAACAGGCTGAGTCAGCAGACTGACACATGCTTTATGATCCATTAATGTATGGTAGTTTCGTCTGACTGACCTTTGCCCTCAAACACAAAGGGAAAAGTATGTCAAGACTGAGTGCTTGAGTGGTGTTCTTTTTATGCCATCTACGTTTGTGAATACAGTATCTCAGTAAAGCAAGGCTTGTGTTTCATAAGAAGCACATACCACACAGTTACTCATCAACAGCATGATCACACCACTAAAACATTCCCCCACTTCCCCCTCTCTGGTTGTGCCTGGCACGAGAAGATACATAAATAAAGGCAAGTGTAATATTAGCAAATATTTACCTGGATGACAGACTTGATTCTGATAGACTTGATATGACCTAATTTATTAAAACCATGTAAAAAATCCAAAATAGAGATGTAACATGTTAATCACTGGAACATTACCCGGTCTGGTTAGTCTAACATGTACTGGTATGACATGTAATGAATTAGATAGTCCAGCATTTTCACACTAGGTGGCTTTATTCTTATTTTGAAGCTGAAATCATCAGTGCAATATTTATAGCTCATGCAGCAGGAAACAGGAAAACACATTGTCAACATACATTTTAAAGCCTTCTACAAAAGCCACTATATGTAATCAGTAACCATTAANNCATTAATTAAATATACAAAACATAAGAATAACAGCTGTGACTCTTAGAGAGTGTCGTATGTTGTACAGATTGAGAAGATCGCTGAGGAAAATTGTGATTTATGATACTGGATAATATAAATAAAAATGACTTGACTTCATGCACAAGTCTGCTTTGCTAAAAATATCCCAGCAATGACAGTTACAGTGAAAGACAAGGTTCCCACGATGAGGATCACTGAGACAACAGTAACAATCACTTCGGCTGCACTGAGCTTGTTCTGAAATACAGAGGTGCAGTTGTAAAAAACAGGCACAAAAACAATTTTTTATTGTAATGCATGATTTGTTATGGGGCATATAGTTGTCAATAATAGTCTTATCAGTACATAATTGTCAAATCATTTGGACAGGCTCTCACCTTTTTTCCTTGTTCCCTCCATGTCTTATTCCGTACTGAACTCCCTGTAACAAAAAATAGACCCATGTAATTTTGTTCATCATTAGGATTCCGAACTGTATTTCATGCACAGTATTATATTCCAATTGTATTATACCACAAATCATTCACCTGTTTTGTTTCTCTCCAGTATCTTATTTCTATAAATACTGAATACAAAGGTCCAAATTACAAACAGCAAAATCCACACTATGTAAGCGATCATCACTTTCAGAAGCCAAGAGTCTTTCCTGTTACTTCGGCAGTCGTCAATCTCCAAAACAGCAACAAAGAGTGCAGCAACTGTGTGTAAAACAGATTTGGGAATTAAATCAGAGCAATAAACAACAGCAATGGCAACTATTGGAAGAGATCCGAGCTCTGACATTGGTTTTCTATGTCATTTCAAAGAAATGGTTAAATTTTTTGGGAAATCTGCTTATTTTCATTCTTGCCAAAAGTGGGAGGATCTAGGTTATACTATCTAATTTAAATGCAACTACAGCCAGCAGCTGGTAAGCTTTGCATTGGCTTAAAGATAGTGGGAATCAACTAGGCTCTGTCCAAAGATCCCACAAATCTCATTCTAGTGTAAAAATGTTAGGCTGCTGTTTTACAGGGAGTTATGTGGCTGAAAATATATAACATGCTAATAAGCTTGTTTTAGACGTGCTTATTGGTAGATGTTTCTATTACTTTCAGAGAGAGCCAGGCTAGTTGTTTCTCACGTCCAGTCTTTGCGCTAAGCTAAGCTAACCAGCTGCTGGCTGTAGCTATTTCTTTACTGGACAAGTGTGAGAGTGGTATCAGTCTTCCCATCTGAAGCTCTGATCATTCTCTAGTACGGATACTGACAGCTTCATTTAGGGGGGTGTGTAAGCAGACACATTGTGACCCTCTGACAGTAAGAAGAAACACTTCTTTGTTGTATTTTACTGAGCAACATGAAAACGTTGAAAATAGATTTTGGCTTGATGAGAGTAGGATGGGGAATGCAGTACAAACATATGCACAAAAGTATCTAGTTTGCTTTTCTAGGGCATGCTGGTGTACTTGTAGTGCAGTCTGTGCACTCACAAAATTTGGGCAGACTTGGGCAGATAGCAAAATTTATGGCACGCGGACCCACGTGGCAACTCAAACTATGAATGGGCCTTTCAGAAGGAATAAAGGTATTGCCCAAAATGTCAAACTATTGCTTATAACACATTAAAAAGTCTTCTCACAGAGCCAAATGAATGCAGTAAAATTAACTAGTGTAGAGATTAAAATCAGGTAAATCTTACTTGTAAAAACCATGTGGATGACAGAACACACTTTGGCACCAAGGTCACAGATCTCCTTTCTTAAACAGAACACAAAAATAAATAAACAAGACATCTGTGTACAAAGTATTGGTGTAAGGGTAAAATCAAATATTCAGTGAAAAGAAAAGGAGTTGAACTTACAGTTCATGACTGGGTCCAATAGGCAGAGAGACGATTACCAGATCCATGAAATTAATCACTATTACCACACACATGAGAGCAATGAGAGTGACCTAAACGTACAATAGCAGGCATATATGTGCATTAAAAATAACTTCACCTCAGAACAATTCAGAAATGTGGACATAAATATAGAGAAACCACTTATTACTACTCACTGTACAGGAATCATTCGCACAAAACAAAATCGGGGCCGATATTTCAACTGCCATACAAAGCAGACTGCACAATATGTTTGACACCTACAACAGAAATACAATGCACATTCAATTACCTTAATGAATCTGAATCATTAATATACATTTTGTGTTTGTTTTCAAAGGCACACATACACAAGCACAGGACACTAACTGCGCCTACAAATGCTATTGGCTTTTTATGTTGAAAAAAATAAACTTATAAACAGAAAAAATATATATGAACTTGTGCAAACAATGAACATAAAGTGCAAAGGACTACCATTAGTTAGATATAAGCTACCGTTAAGATTGTCTGAAAAACAATGGTAGGTTTTTATTTCTTCCTCTCTATAGCCAGTAGTTTTTATCATTAGTGGTGGGGTCTGCTATTTAAGATTAAACTTATCTACCTACGCACGAGGGATTCACAGAAAATGACAAGAATTTGCAAGATCAGGAGAACTAGAAACAGTTACTATGACAACACACGCCCCTCACCTCATGCCTTACCTTAATTAGACGACGAGAAAAGAGGCTGCTGGTGATGGTGATTGTGATTATATTAGGCAGTTCCTGAAGAGAGATAGTGAATATAGAAATATATATTTTAGATTTTTTTTACAAGTGTCTCACCATGCTACAGCGTTGGTAGGAATATTGTGCGACAGCATTTTCTGGGTGTCTCGAGTTCATGAACAACGTACCATTTTCAATCCCACAAAAAGAATGTCCAAAGACATTTGCACAGTACCTCCTTGCTGAAGATAAATCAAGAGAAACAATGAGGAGTTGATTAAAACAGCAGTTAAAGTTTAAATATTCATGCATAGATTTCTGCACAATGTCAAAAAACCTCCATCAAATCCACCTTTGTGTCCGTCTTTACCTTTTACCTTACCTTTAGGCTGAATGCGTCGGGCCCTCGTTGAGTGTTCAGTGTTGTACTGGATGAAATGCTTGTAGTAACAGGGGATGAATTGGTCGTGCTTAACTCTGCAGTACTTGGCTCCACAGTACTTGGCTTCACAGTACTTGGCTTCACAGTACTTGGCTTCACAGTACTTGGCTCCACAGTACTTGGCTTCACAGTACTTGGCTTCACAGTACTTGGCTTCACAGTACTTGTAGTAGTACTTGGTTGAGTAGTTGGTGGTGGTGCTGTGGTTTGTATAATGACGTTCCTATCCACTTGTTCCCAGAATATTGTATAAGACTCAAGAAATGTGGCTCTGAAAGGTATGATGGCAAAGGTGCTCCATATTGTAATATTAAATACATTTATTTATTCTTGAACTTTGGAGGTCAGTCCGTCAGACAAGTGAACGAATACCTGAAAGTGATGTCTAGCTCTGCTCCCTCCGCTGTCCAGTTGACTCTGATCGAAGTCTTTCCTACATTGTATCTGTTACTAACAGCACCCTGAGGAGAGAGACAAAAACGAGACAAAAAAGTCACATCCATACAAAAGCATAGCTTGAATTTGTAGTTCTTTTAAATTAGTTAATTCGAGTGGTTTTGGAGTATGAGCATTCAGTTAATCAATTCAAAGCATTTTCTACCTCTAATAATGATGAAATTCCATGGTTACTTACTGCTGAGTGACTGCACGTCAGTAACCGAGTATCAGACTGAAGCTGGATAAATCTTCCAACAGGAGTGCCTTCGTCCACCCTCTGTGTCTCTCGAGCCTCCAACATAAATCCCTTAAATTTATGTCCTGGGTTGCTTTCGAGAGAAACTGTATAATGGCAAAAAAAGGTGGAGGGACAGAAATAATAACGTTTCACTTAGTAAATGTCCAAGATTGGAAGTAGTAAAGAAGCTTTAAAGAAAAGGTATCCAATATTCTCTGTACCTGTAATAGGCTCTCCTTTATTGCCAGGTGTGTAATTGACCTTATAGGGCGGTTTAGTGTTCTGAGGTAAAACAGGCACTCCTCTGCTTGGATGCTCAGGTGACATTGATTGACACGCCTGTGGGAAATTACCATCTGCAAACCCATGCACCTTTGTGATGATGCAAAGGCCAATCAATATCCACACACACATCTGTAAAACAAGTGTGCAATGCCATGAGTAAATAAAACAATGTCTTTCAGCCTCCTTAATAAACATGCAGTCCCTGGGGATTAATAGCATTGACCTGAAACACTTTCACAGTGATATTCAACGTATGGTACCGTAATTATCTTTGTAGTTTATTACCGTAGTAAGTATGCTCCGGTGCATTGCTTTAAAGGTTCACATCCGCATAGTATGACAACCACAGAGCTACAGCTCCTACATTTTTCACCCATCTGTATAAAAACGGCCCTAGATTCAAGTCAGCTCTTTAATCTTACAAACATTGTTTGACTGCTAATGCAGTTTGCTGGAATGCAGACCCAATACAAGGACTCCCACTCAAAATACAGAATCACTCAAAATATGAAATGTGTCTAAAATAGGAATAATTTGAACAAAATTAGGCCTAAAAATAAACAGCAAACATCTCTCTCACTGTTTCATTCAAATTTAAAATTCGGTTTATTGTTATTTAAGACCTCAGTATCAAATAACTAAATATACACTGATAGTAAAAACTTTTTTCTCTTACCTTAAAATGAATGTATTTGTATAATGCTATAAATTGTTTTGTTCAAGTCTCTTTAAGAAAAACCTTTTCAGAAAGGGATCCTCCTCACAGGACAGTGCAGTGCATACTAGAGAGCACTGCAAAGACTCAGCAGAGTTGAGGAGGAAGTTTGAAAGGGCAATTAAAGTCCACGGCTGAACCCGCCCACACACACAGCTACCATGAAAAACAAAATACAGTTTCCCTTTACCTCTGATTACACCATTCTCATGATTTGTTGGTTTCTGGTGGTGAAATGTAACTAAGTGCATTAACTCAAGTACTGCACTTACCCCTTACAAACTGTTCATATCCAATGCCTTCACAGTATGGTCCGGGTCAAATTTGACCAAGAAAGAAAGTCCTCATAAAAAATGTCTATAAAATATTTTGAACTACAGATCTATTTAGAATATGTAAAATAGCCTATTTTACATTAATAAATTCCTTATTAATTCCTTAATTTATGATTTTAGATAGCATGAGAGTGTATTTTTTAGATTCTAGACCACTCGTTTCTGGGAGAAGAAAACACACCTCACACTATATCATGTCCTGTTTTACCTAAGACATGAAAACATAACAGCCATAATGATTTAAATATATTTTATTAATAGTGAAAATGGCAAGAACATTCTGGAACTGTTATAATATAACCACATAACTATCGCAACCATTGGACACTGTCCTTACTGCAATATCATTATATTAACAACAATTATCAATATTAATTTAACATTAACATTCAAAACACAACACATAAAACATGTTTGTTGCAAACTAGTCAGTGCATTCAATGCAGTAGTAGGAAACTTTGCATGTGTGGGACTTTATTGTTTTGCTTTTTTCTCCAAAACTTTATTTAACTTTCAAAAATACTTACAAGTTTTCTCAAAGGGAACATAAATTGCATTTATACAATAAAACGGGACTTGCAAATGTGCTTCCCACATTTGCTGCAGGTTGTCACCGTTTTGCAGTCCTTTTTTGGAGAGCAGAGGTTGCATCTCCTTCTCTTTTGTCCCTTTGTGTTGGTTTCTTGTGTGACTTGATCAGGGCCAGGCTCAGGCCAGCCCATCCTGCCTGAAACTTGCTGTGAAAGTGAGGACCAACAGATGGCATTGTTTTTTGACATAAACGTCTTTCTTGCTGCCTGCTCCTCTCCCTCAGAGGCATCTTCATCAGATTGGCATAGAGTTTTCCTCTATGTCTTCTTGCTCAGACACATCCTCCTCCAAATCACTCTCAGCTTCTTCATCGTGGAAGATCTGATCAAGGACCTCTTGAAGAGTGAGTCTTGCTGCCATGACCTCTGTGGGCTCTGATCTACAACAATAACAGACTAACATTAGTTCCTGGTAGTTGATGAGATCTCAGGTACAATGGGTGTGACAGTTCATCTGCTGACATTCAAGACCTGACAGCTGGCAGCTAACTCTTAAATTTCACGGGAGCGTACCTATGTTCCCCGGGTGCTATGTTCCCCGCTTTGTATGGGA